GATGAGAGAGGAGAGAGAGAGAGAGAGAGCGAGTAGAGAGAGAGAGAGATAGCAGAGGAGCGCGCTCAGAGCTATCTCTCTCGTCGAGCGTAGCGCTCTCTCTCTAGCATATCTCGCTCTCTCGATCTCTCTCTCTCTCTCTCTCTCTCTCTCTCTCTCTCTCTCTCTCTCTCTCTCTCTCTCTCTCTCTCTCTCTCTCTCTCTCTCTCCATTTAAACTTTGCATTTAATATATCCTAGGTTTGGGTTTTGTCTGTTAACACAATATAAAAACACTAATTGTAGAAAAGATAACGAGTCTTGCTGGTTAAATAAATTGCAATGACCTTTTATGTCAACAGTGTTAATTGTATGGAGTTATAGCAAAGCAGAACACCATCGATCTGCCTATGAACACACATGTGCTTTACCTTGATCATTTTACATAATAATCCAAATCTAAAGTGGCCATTCTCTGACAAAAACAGTGTAGGATTAATATTAAAATACCTCCTGAGCACCACATTGTAGAACGGGATGCATAGATCCGAGTTTGGTGGCAAAATCTTCGTCATCTGGACTCGTATATCTATTTCCTCATTATCGGTTCGTCTCACACTCTTGAGATGAACCACCTGTAGGGCGTCAAACAAGATGCAAGGAAGAAATTCAGTGTTATTTTCACAGATTTTGCACAGTATAGTTTGATTTCAATACATTTCAAATTTCACCACCCCTTTCTACTTCTGACCTTAAAAGTCATTTCCAAATTCCAGATTGTTATATCAAAAACAAGTCTCTCCTGATTGAAATACGGTAGCTGTGATACTTACGTCTTCCATTTGAACAGGCATGAAGAGAATGGATCCATCAAAAGCTATAACTTCTCCTGTGGTCTCGCGGTGATCTCTCATCATGGCGAAACGCATCCCCATTGATTCCACATTTGGACTGAAATATAACATTGAAAGCACTTTTCATAATTAAAGTATCGACTGACAATGTGTTGATTCGGGGGATTTTACAACCAATATTGCTACCGTGTAATTCTAGCTTTAGTTAGTTTTAACTTCACACACATTTAAAGAAACATTTCCTACAGTCATATTATTATTTTCCGGACTATAAGTCGCGTTTTTTTTTTACCTGTCTGGCTGGTCCTGCCACTTATACTCCGAAGCGACTTGAATTTTGTCTGACTGCGTTCAAACTCCGGCCAATAGATGGCACTGTATACAATCGTGACAACTGAAAACTGCTGTACCACCGAAGAAGAAAAAAGGGAGTATGCGTCACGTAACTTTCCAGGATGTTGTGGGATGAATCGACACAGCATGGGCTTCAGTGACAACCGACACCATCCTGTCGGGATTCAGAAAGGTCTAATCGGAGCTGATTCTGATGGAGAGTCTGAGGACAGCCCGGAGCAGGACATGCTGCTTCATCGACACCGGAGTTGGCGGAAGTGTTTAACAGCGACTGTATAAATACAGTGAGAATTCCGAGTGGCTAAGCTAATTAGCGGCTAAGCTAATTAGCGTATCAGTATTATGTGTCGTAGCTCATTGTGTGGATTATTTTGTTTATTCAGCTCGTCAGTCGGGCAGTTAATAACAGTGTGCCATGTCTGTATTGCGTTTACAGTTTCACCAATTCATTAAACTTCAGTAAAGCTGACATTTGTGCCGGAGTTTCTCTGATCTCCGGCACACTGTTTAACTGGATGGATAGCTAGCTCGGTGATAGTGAGACCTTCACAGCGACACAGAGGATGAAGACTTCAGTGGATAAATGCGATTTATAAACCGAAGCGACTTAATATATGTTTTTTTCTCTTAACGACACGTTTTTTGACAAGAGCGACTTGTAGTCCGGAAAATACGGTAAATGGATACTTCCTAATTATAAAAAAGGGAAATTAATGACACATGTTGGTTTATGTGTGTGGCTTTCTGGTTTACTAAAAGTAGTATGAACCAAGACAAATAATGCAAATGTTATGTTTTTCATTCAAATGTCTGAATAAGCCCACTCATTAAGTCCTTAAAATTGTACTTAAGTTGATATGATTGTCACTGATTGTGTTTAATAGACATATTATAACATTTCATATCTATCTGAGGCACCTGACACAGTACTTACGTGAATGTCACATGGTACTGATACACGGCTTCGTTCTTGCAACGAATCACGATGTGGTTCGAGCCGATCGTTATTGCAGCTCCTTTTGTTCCAGCTTTATTAATAGCCTCCCTGAGCAGGAGACAAAACACATGTACAAAAATGTTTAAGCAAAATGCAGTCAGAGACGTACTTATCGTTGTCCACTTGGATGTGTACTGTTGTAATTTGTGTAATTCCTATCGTTAATATGTTGTGCATGCCTCTTATTGCTATTTAGCCCCTCTGTGGGACTAATAAAGGTATTCTGATTGTGTGACTAGTAACCCTGACACAACAAGCAGATCTCAAAGATTAGCATTTCTAAAATCTCATGATTATGAGAATTGTGCTAAAAAACGTAGACAATACTGTTAATCACATTGCAACTTCAATACAAGTGAAAATAACCGCAATACGTTATTATTTTTCAAATGATGCAACCCTAATGTATGTTAGTGCCTCTCATGTGTAAAATGTTGCACTTCAACACACCACAAACACCCGAGTTAAAGGCCTTGTAGAGAGCTTAACTGTATGCATTTTTTAAATAATCAATAAAAGGTTGCAGTCTTAGCCTATTTATTTTTATTTTAATCATTTATTTGGCAGGGACATTGCACAGTAATGAACACTTAAAACAATAAATGTGTCAAGCGTAAATATGCCGGATTTAGCTTTGAGCTACTTTTCATCCGCAGTCCTTCACATAAAACATTTAAGAAAATGACATTTATAAACATAGCAAAAAAAATACATGATATGCAGAAAGTGAAAAAGAGCAGCATATTCAAGTATTTATGACATATAAAGTGCAAGAGAAGATGCAACAGCTACCTAAAGTGCAAGAGGAGATACCCCTGTGTTAAAGTGCATCTAGCGGTGATCGCACGTCTGTTTGTTTCTCAACCATTCTTTGAGTTGACCTTTGAAGCTATTGAGAGTGGGACAATCCCGTATCTCAGTTGGGAGGCTATTCCACTATAGAGAACCACAGTGACGCGTCCTAAAACCCGGAAGTAAACTCCTTCCGGTTCCTTCGTCAAAAACCAATGAGATTTCTCCATAGGATTTTGGAAAATAGCTGGAAATAAGGTCTGTGGTTGAGACACATTGAAGAGACGGATCACGTTGTGTTCAGCCGGATAATATCCACATGTCTACCCTACTTTTATAATTTTCTAATCATAAATCTAATCGCCAGAAGCAAAATGCTAACGTTATGCTATAAACGAACTACAGCAGGGTCGCTGCTTCAACGTCACGCCAACTTAAGATCCATATTCAAACATACAGATTAAAAATGGTCCAAGTTGAAGCGTTTGTTTGAACAGTTTGCAGGAGGCAGGGACTTGCTTTCAAGCAGAACAGGGCAAACTAACTTAGAGGAGTGTGCACGTGTTCGGCGTAATGACGTACAACGGCCTTGACAACTTCTGTAGTCCTATTCAGCCACTTGGTAACAACCATTGTTTTTCAGACACGTCAACTCTTCAAAAATCACCAGTGGGGTCACTGCTGATGGATTTAATGTCGTAGAACAAAACGTGATCTGTCTCTTCAATTTGTATCAAACACAAACCTTATTTCGAGCTATTTTCCAAAATCCTATGGAGAAATTGCATTGCTTTTTGTCGAAGGAACCGGACGTGGTAAAAATGCTAACTTACTTCCGGGTTTTAGGACGCGTCACTGCGGTTCTCTATGAGCTGCCTTTAATGGAGAGGACATTTTGTCCAAAAGTGGTCTGTCTGCGGTGGACTTCACAGTCTCCTCTGGTTTCTGACCTAGTGCAGCGTCCAGTGTTTTTTTTGTGGATGAATTCCCCTATGGGAGGGGGGGGGGGGGGCAGTCCCTATTGGTGAAGTAGTACAGCACTAATGACCTAAAATACACAACTCAAACTTCTGACATGTCAACATTGATAATAATAATTTTTAGCACAACACACAGTCATTGTGAGTTGTTGTATTGTGTATAGGCAAAGCTTAGGTTAATAGTGGCACTGACACTACATGCCAAACTCAAAGATCTAGCATTGATTAGGTCTGAAGAATCAAATGCATAATGTCTATGGCTATAAGGGGGAAGTAGATAGACAGATCCTTTCATGTTTAGTATGAAGAGATAACAGTTTCTGGTACATATAGATTACATGTTTGAGTAAGTGGACACTGTAATAATGAAAGAAACTAAACACACCTCTTGGATTTAGAATTTCCTATTCCATTTCTGCCTATAATTCACGTTTGTTTAAGTGTATATATTACAAAGATGGTAAAGGGTATTGATATAATCTTTGCTGTATAATATAGTTGGCCTCTCTGTGAACATCTAGTCCACATTTGTTGACATTGTGATTTCTAGAGATACAAGCATTACACAGCCCCCTTTGGAGGAGCTTTCATTTTCACTCATTTTTGTAATGGGAAGATTCCAACAGCAACCAAAAAATAATAATTTTCCAGTAATATATTTGTACACAACCATACATTTAAAAAACTAGACATATTTAAGTAATAAAACAACGTTGTGCTTTGTTCTGCTTGAGGTTTCGGAATCTTAAGGTCTTAGTTTCTCAACAATATAGACTCCTCTTGCACTATTTTATCTGTATTGTTAATCATTTCACTATTTTTATCTGTTCTATCTGTTCTATATCCTATATATATATATATATATATATATTCATGTTGCACTGTTGGAGGAGCCTGGGACTTTCACTGCCATATCTACACTGTATCTACTGTGCCAATGACCATGAAGCCTTGAATCTTGAATTAGTCAATCTCAAAGGAGCTAGCATTGATTAAAGGTGGGGTAGGTAAGTTTGAGAAACCGGCTCGAGATACACTTTTTGTTATATTCCATGGAATGCTCTTATCTGAAGTGCTTTGACAAAAAATACATAAAAAAGGTTCATCTGTGGAAGTCGTAATACTGTAAAAAGTACGACCAATCATTTAAGCCGGCCCGGCTAAAATAACTGGATGGCCTACCTGCCTGTCAGCCTTCCATCTGTACACAAACTTATCTCGTGCCCTCATTGGTCATGTGCGCGTTCGTGTGTAAAGTAAATAATTAGAGAGAAGATCGAGTTGTTATCGCTTGAAATGACGAAAAGGAAAAAGGACAAGGACATCCCTCTGTTGGAGGGGCAAAGGAGTCTGGTGGGATTATTTTCGCCGCCAGCAAAGCGTGTTCCTGTGACGGAAAGTGTACTGCCGGTGAGCCTTGACGGGGGGTGCTAGTGGAGCACGCGGGTGAACTGCGAGCGCCGGAGCCTCGCAGCGGCGAAACTGAGGCTCCGTGGTGAACTGTGGTAACATGAAGAGCTGTTTAGGAGCCGAAAGAGCCGGCTCTTCTAATGGCGCATTTCCACTACAGCGCGGAGCGCGGTTTAAGGTTGCGTTTCCACTTGGCGTAGTACCGGCTAGCGGGTACTATTTCACAGTTTTTCTGGCCCCATAAAATCGAGGTTCTTAGTAGGGATGCCAGAAACTGACCATGATCAAATTCGAAAATCGGACAGCCCTGGCGAATATTAATCGATTATTCCCCCCCCCCCCCCCCCCCGCAGGAGAGAAAAGAAAAAAACAAGATCATATTGGTGATTAGTGCAGTTATGTCACCTGCACGCCTGTCATCACAACGACGTGGCCTTGAAGTGAAGTTAGTAATGGCCGGCTGTGCTGCGTCTTTCTCTGTAGGCACTTCTTTGGCATGCTTCGCACTCAAATGCATTGTTGATGTTGAGCTGTGGTAGACAGCTCTTTTCGCAGAGCTTGCATTTTACTTCATTTGCACTTGTCAGTTCGAAGTAGTTCCACGAGGAACTCTTCTTTGAACGTGCCGCTTTGTTCATCTTTAGTTGTGTTGTTCTCACTGTTCTGTATATCACCAATAAATCAATCGCACTTGTGACGGAGAAGGGGGGGGGAGGGGGGTCGGTGTGTAGCAGGCTGCAGCAGGCAGCAGCAGTCTGCACTCTGCGCAGCCTGCGCTGCTGGCTTCCTCCAAGTTTACAGTAAAACAAACTGGCCATTTACAATTATTAATACTATTACTATTATTAGCATTAGTCTATATTTTGGTTGAAACTAAGCCAGAAAAAAAAGAAAAACATAAAAAATAATAAAAAAATATATAAATAAAATCGAATTTTAAAAATTATTTTCGATTATGGAGACTGTAACGAATATTCGAAAAATCGAATAATCGCTGGCATCCCTAGTTCTTAGCGGGCCAACAACCAGGCTGAGTCGGGCTGAGTATGCTAAACTAGAGAGAGAATCGCTGGCAAGGGGGCTACAACCAGGGGTTCAATTGGGCCGGGGCTGTCCGGGGCTAAGCCCCGGCACATAGGACGATGCTCTGACTTCATCACCCTCGCACATTTGTATTCCAAAAACTATATGTTAAAACTTTTCTTGTTCTTAATATAGACTATATTTAGGGTCGATATGTGTTAACTTTACTTTATAATAGCAGATCTCTGTGACCGGATATAGTTTTTCGGCTTAGTGAACGTGTCTCTGCTCCGATAAGGAGCTGCAGCCCGCAGCCCCCCCCGCCCGGACTCCGCTGCTCCTCCGTGCAGAGTCTGCAGCGGTGCCGCGAAACCCGACCCGTCCTGTAACACGGAGCCCGTTTCCTAAACCATTCTAAATGTGTGTGTGTGTGTGTGTGTGTGTGTGCATAAAGCTGAGTGATGATCGGTCATAATAACACCAAATTTGGTGATGATTCAATCGTTTACAGTGAAATGTACAGCATACTTTTGGCCATAATCTCACAGCCCTACAAATGAACTGAGATTTCCACACAAATATTCTTTAGCAAGTGTGCAGAGCAATTTTGATTTAAAATAGCAATTTGAAGGTTGGATATGTGTATACATTTGTGTGTGTACATTAACAATTTATTTGTAGTACTTTTCTATTTGCATTATGTCATTTGGTGGCATCAATGTGTGCATTTGATACAGATAATGGAGCAGTTCCTTTAGGGCCTCATATACAGTATAGCCCTCAAGGTCTAATAATGAGATCCTCGATCCTCGACCCCCCCCCCACACACAGAGCCCCCCTACATATCAAATCCCAATTTAACCCCTGGCTACAACTACAACAAGATGAACATATTTGACCGTGATTTAATTGTAATACACGTTTCAAAATGATGCCGAAGTAACAACATACTGATACCGGTTAGTAAAAACCATGAATTAATGCTTTGTCAAGTCTGCAGACAGACGGCAGGCGAAAAACCTTTTAAAATGTGTGTTTTCTAAATGGAGATCGGCTAAGCTAACGCAGTATATGCTCCGACCGTCCACACTCACAACAACGGCGTATACAGACATAAATAAACCAGCGACTGTATTCACCATGACACAGACAGTCTGTGGTTTGTACTTGTTTAACTTTTGTCTAGTTTCTGAACAGATATGAGGAGCTGTGAGCTCTGAGTGCTAACAGCTAACGGCTGATGTTGTTTTTCTGTGGTTCTCATTGAAGATGACGTCACGGCTCCGCCTACACTGCGTTACTATAGTTACTGCCCCAGCTACTAAACTGTAATGGAAACGCAGCATAAAGTGAGCCAGTCCTAACAAGGCCTAACTATACCGTACTAAGCCGAGCGAGGCCCTGCAATGGAAATGCGCCATTAGTGAGCCGAGCCAAATGATCCGGAATTCCAATCACTAATACGTAAAGAGATAGCATCTATAAGGGACGGCTCAATTCAAAATCCAAGTCACGTGACACGACGTGACACGACGTGACAACCCCCCCCCCCCGCGCTCTCGGGGTGGACGCCCTCTCAGCCCTGGTCTGGCGGAAACACTGAATGATAACCAACAATATACTTGTGATATGCAAGGTGTGAAGAGGTAACTACAAGTGAAAGATGTATACTCACTGGACTGCCTCCATTTTCATCTCCTTTGCTGGAGCCAGCTCCTCTCGAGTAATGGGCATCGGGGGTATGGTTTCTTCACAAAACAAAAACATTTTAGGTTAATTTCTTACTTTTTCAGGAGTTCTACAGAAATAACTTTTTAACTTACATGCACTATTTCTGTTTAATGTGTTCACTTGGAGTTTTATTGTGAAGAACCGGAAGTGTCGTGGCTTCCTTCCTTGTTTTTCTACCAAGCCACTCGACGCCTTAAACAGACATGTTTGAACTAGTTTACTTCCTTTATATTACTTACAGTTTGAAGAGTTGCTTGGCCTTCGATGGTTTGGATGATGTTATGCGATGTGTTTGCTCAAAATATAACAAACTTTTACACATGCAACAAAGAAAATAGTATTCAAAACAAATCGGCAAAACTCAAATAAAATAACAAACAGCTTAGGTATTCTTTCAGTCTTGATAAGGCTTATATAACTTAATAACTTAAAGGGTAATTGAACGGTTAAAAACTATTCCTCGACGGCGTCTTTCTGACAGGTTGCTGCCCATCACTGTCACTTTAGAGGAGGCGCCGTGGGAATTGTATTATTTTATAGTGTGTTGACTACAGACGTCAAGATTAGGTGGCCTTTCTTATAAAAACTAAATACTGGCTCTAACAGGAAGTGTTACGTTGGAGCAGGGTATATGCAGGAATCCTGAAGTCAAATGTAATACCCTTTAAGACCTTTTTTAAGACCCTTTCCATACATTTTAAGACCTCATCGCCACTTGGAGTTTTAACCGGTTACATTGGCGACACACTTTACCTCACATTTACTATACAGTGTTTCCCCTACCATTGTCTTGGAGGGGCGCTGCGCCAACGGAGCCCCCCCCCCCTGAAATTCAAGGTGTTATATAAAAAAATATATTAATATATATAGCACCAAATTGCAACTAATCTATATCTACTGTCACTTTTCACATTGAACATGTGCTCTTTTATTAAATAAAATGTTAAGTTGTGAGTTTAGTGTTTTTGACCCTAAGAAACACTAATGCACTAATCAATAACAATAATCCACAGCTCCTCTCTCTGCTCCAGAGGATTTAAAAAATATATATCCCAATGCCCCCCCGCTCAGGCAGCACCCCCCCAAAGCAGTTAACCTAGGGGAAACACTGCTATATACAGTATTGATTGTCCTTCCTCCTTATCTTCCAACCATTTGGACGCAGACTTGCATTTCCCCATAACGATGTTGCTTAGCAACCGGCGTAAACGGACCTTCGCGCGCTATCAAGCAGTGAGCGTGCGATGTCCTGTTCAGATGACGTCAAATCCAACGGGATGCCATAAATAAACTACACAGAATCCCACTACACACCTACGCAATGATTACATTCAGGCAGACTGTAGAATACAACCTCTTTGGACAATTTATATACTTATTGAAAACAAGCTACAAAATGTAACACCTTGGAAAATGCCTTTTAATACTTTTTAACCTGTTAAGCCCTGAGCCTGTTTTTCAGATCTCAGGCTCGAAAATGACATTCCCAGAATAAATGACCATATCTTCTAAAAGGGTTACATTAATAATCTTTGTTCTTAAAGTAATGATAAACCTGTGAGTTGGATGTAGAAAAGTCAGAATCAATATAGATGTTTTTTATTTTAAAGAAAATTCAGATTGAACATCGTGTCCGTTAGGGCTGTGCAATTAATCGTATTTTAATCGCAATTACGATTTTGGCCTGCCACAATTACGAAAACAACATAATTGGAAAAAACAATTATTTAGCTTTGCTTGGTTTTGACTGCACTGCAACATATTTGATCTAATTAATTTTGGTTTAATTTATTTGTATTTATCATATTTATATATGTTTAGTAGCTTGTGGAAGTGCGCTCCAAAATATTTGTTGATCTTGTTTATTGGTATTTATTATTTTGATATTATTTATTTAAATGTAAATATAAATGTGTCATTTATTTAATTTATTTTTGTATTGGTTTTTCAGTTGAATTATACGTTCAGGGTAATCAACAGTTAAAAAGATACTGTTCAAATTATTATTTGTATTTGTTTTAACCCTTGTGCCCTCCTCGAATTTTCAACCTTTTGTACACGCCCATAATAACTGCTATTAAATCATACATCAATATTTTTTTTCAACTTTGTTTTCATGAATCACATATACAACTTCTAACGTGCTCAAAACGACCAAACATTCAATCATTGTCAGGATTTTAACCCTTTAAATGCCTGTTTAATTATTTTAATTATTTTATTTCTCTCAAAAATGCCTCATTGACTTCCATTCAGACCACATTTGTTGATCTCACTGCCATTGCAGTATACAGGGTTCTTACACCTTTTCCAAAGTCAAATTCAAGCACTTTTCAAGCATTTTCAAGGTGCATTTTCAAGCATCTTACAGCTGTTGTAAATTACATATTTATATACACATACTTATACTCAAATGATTATTTCCCTACCTCACATTAAATCAGATGTTCTTTATGCTATAAACAACCAAATGTGTGTTTCATAATAGCATTCTACATGAGGATGAAAAATTAAAAATGTTAGAAAAGAAAACTAAGTTTAATATTTCAAAATGTGTGACCCATCTGTACGTAGACTGGGCATCCCATATAACCTGGCTGAGCCAATATAAAACAATCAGCTAAATAACTTTTCAATATATTATTGATTACTATTTTTGAGGTACTTTTAGGTTGGCAGTAAACACAAGTCAGAGGTAAATGGTGTACTTTGACTCCACTACATGTATTTAATACCTTTAGTTACTTTACAGATGTGGATGAATGATGTGAAATATAACCAAGTGTTAAATCAGACTTTAGTTCCACCTGGAGTAAATTCACAAGCTACTCTGTAGTATACAAAGTCATTCAAACTAGCTGCAACTTTACCAGCTTTGATAACACTTTCATGATCAATCATTATAAAACATATCATATACAATTATTAGGGATGCTCCGATCGCCAATTTTGGAGCCGATCGCCGGAATCAGTATCGGCCGATACCGCTCTCTTTTCCTCTCTCCCCCTCTCTCTCTCTCCTGACAGCCCGTCAGTATCTCCTGCAGCTCACTGATCCAGTAATAAGCGACCCGACAGTGAAGAATAAATATATTTATAACTAGTTTAGCTTGTTCCAGAGGTAGATAAAATAGCTAAGTGTGTTAGGTCTAACTCTTAATGTGTGTTCTGCTCCGCTCACCGGTCCGTCACAGCGGGTGGAGCTGCAGGATTTCTGCTTCACACACACGTTGCATACCGCTATTTTATTGTCATTTTCGGACACTTAAAATACTGCCAGACTAGTGAAGCCATTTTAGCGAGCTTGTTTTGCCGCGCACAGAGAAAAGTGTCATGTATTTTACATGCAACGATAGCCTAATCTAAAATGCTCTACGGCGTACCTTTCGTGTGGTGTGTGGCTCGTCAGCGCAGACTCTCGCATCGTTATTGTTGCACACTTTGCAGGAGGCTACTCTTGGGCTTGACCCTCGTCTTAGCCATGGCTTGTATTTGTCTTCTGCTAGCCAACGCTCGTTGAAACGGCAACCTCCTGGCATACTGTCATCTATCACTCTCATCAGAATGCCCAGGTCACACACGTAACAAAAACACTTGCCGGTCACGCGCATTGCGCGGGAAGGCCGGAGCGGAGCTGTTTTATGTAAAAGCGAAGCAATTAAGCGCGCTCAGACTTCTTTATTTTCTTTTAATCTAAAAAGCGAAGTAAAGCATTTACAATTTCAAGCACTTTATCCCAAATTCAAGCACCATTCCCAAAATTCAAGCACTTTTCAAACCTTGAAAACACCTCTTACAATTTCAAGCATTTTCAAGGATTTCCAGCACCCGTACGCACCCTGAGTATAAAACCATGCATTTTGTAATGTCAGCATTTCATTTAGAAGAAAAGTAGTGATATTTGATATTTCTACTCTATTCCAACAGATTACACCATTTTCCCACTGTAGGCCGATGCATTACATTCTTACATATTTGCCAGTTATATTATGGAGCCGTGTGACTACCAGGGGGCCCCGAGAGTGGTGTGTGTGTGTGTGTGTGTGTGTCATTTCCAGCAGCAGACCAGCAGGTCCTGCAGCATGTGACCTGAGGCCTGTACTACGAAGCCGGATTTTCGCTTAGCCGGCTGACTTCAGGGAAAACTCCGGCTCGGAGCTGGAGCTGGAAAAGTGCAGTTTTTTCCTGTTCACACCGCAGCGGCACCGCGTCATAGCTCCGGAATGCGGTTCACTTCCAGCTCCAAAAAATTGTCGGTCTAGAGGCAAGAGCTTCGGAGCTATGACGCGGCGTCGCTTACGTCTCTCTTACCTCTCTCTTACGTCGAGGCGTGCAGGAAACTAAACCCATAGATATATATAAACATTAAAGTGCATTAAAGTGTTTATATATATCTATGACTAAACCCACCTCCCCTGAACATGGGTCGACTGAAGAGTCTCGTCATGCCTGCCTACAAGCAGTAGCGCTGAGCAAAGTGACTAGAAGGCAACCACACTCATAAAAAAAAAAAACACACTTTATAAAGTCAGGCAACACTAACCAGGCTTCGTGTGATTCTGTTTATTTGTACCTTACTTTGACCATCCGTTCGCTGTTATTGATCATTGTGGAGAGCAGGCAGACGTTTTGTGTTATTATAGCAGCTATCGGATGGAATCAATACATGGGCTGCACAGGTTGTCATGTCCGACTATCACAAGTAGAATCATAATGAAAAATACGCCGGTAAAATGTGCCTGTAGAAAACTGCTTAGCAAGTAGTCAGTTTAGCTTCGGTTGCTATGCTAACATCACCCATGTTATACCAGAGAAACTTTCATAACAGCGTTGTGATGCCAAACAGCGTCAATTCAGACTGACACCAAACAGCGTCAATTCAGACTGACACACATTCACTTAAGGGGAACTGGGGATATGTATCAGCTGCTTGTGTGACAGTCAGACAGTGAATACTTTAGAGCCGTGTGAGCTAACCCGAAGCTAACGGGAGAATACACTCCCGTGGAAGAGCAGCCAGCACTGCAGCGGTCGGTAAATGCCGCTGAAACACATTAATAAACAATGAACCACGGCACTCTGGAGAAAAGTATAAGGTTGGAGAAGTCGTTACTTTAATTTAATCTGGCTTCGTATGATTAAAAGCAACACGATCATCGACCCGATGCAGTCCCCCCCCCCCGTTGTTGTTGTGAGCTCCGTTGGGGAGAAAATCAGCGATGTAAACGGTGACGTCATGACGCAGCAGCGGCAGCTCTGGGCGGTGTGAACAGAGCGGGAGCTGAAAAGGGAAACCGGAGCTGAACCAGAAAAGCTCTAGCTAGGAGCTAGAAAGGGAAAAGCGCTGGTGTGAAAGCCGCATAACAGTTGTTTTTTGTTTTTGAGTAATCAAGCAGCTCTTCAAAGACACATCAAACACATCCCTCAAAAGATGGCCTTTTTTCCCATGAAATGATCCGTGCATGCTTACAGATTCTCACACACACGGAGAGGTAGGAGAGGTGTGTGCTGGTTGTACTCAGGCCTAAAATATTGTTGTTCTATCACCTGAGAGAGCACCAGAGGCCTGTACTACGAAGCTGGATTTTCCTAACCTGGATATGTTTGAGTTAGCCGGTTGGCCCAATCCAAAACATACGCGCTCTGGCTAAACTGTACTACGACGCTGGTTATCTAGTGGATCGCTCAAGCCAGCCGTGTCCTATCTAGTTAGGTGCGCGTTCACATGAAAGGGGTGGTATTTGGAGCATTCGACCAATCTCAAACACGGACAAGCGTACTGACAGCGCAGCGTCATTCTTCCTGAATGAAAAGTGAACTTTAATATTAGTCAAATATGAAGAAGTTAAACTTTAAACATCCATGACTTAAACACTTTATCCAGGATAAAAGCCACATAGCTGCACCTGCAAGGTGAATACAGCTGGTAAAAGAAAAAGCGTTTGAATGCGTACATTAACAGGTTTATGAAATCACTGCCCCGTCTAAAATTACATTTGACTCGAGTGTTTCGTCAACTTAATGTGTTGCTTAAAATAATACTTCTGCATACAGTATGTGACACTGTGAGTGTTGCACGGCCAGATACGGCTCAAGAAGCTGACTCAGATAAGGAAATATATGATACATTATGATGTGATATGATATGAATGATAATGGGACACATCGACGTCTGCACTCACAGTGCCGCGGACTGTACTTAATGTTACTCTGATCCGGTTACTTATGTCGTGGCAGATATTTAAGTAAGCTTTCTTAACGCTAATGTTATAATAGTCAGATTGCTCTGAAGATGGGAGGGGATATTCTATTTATTTTCACACAGTCAGTTGATTTTGGCCGGCAGTCTTTCCTGCAACGGCAGTTTTTCTGTATTTCCTCTATCCTGTAATATGACTTGATCGCTTTAAACTCCGCACACGGAGCTCTGATTGGTCAGCAGGCGGTGCTTTCACTGAGTTGATCTCTTAGCCTGCAACCTAACCTGCTCCCGAGGAGGTTAGCCGCTCAGCATAAGTTACCATGGAGATCAAGCCCGCTAAAAAGAGAACCAGCGTCGTAGGACCGGAAAGCCCGAGTTTTCCCTGAAGTCAGCCGGCTAAGCGAAAATCCAGCTTCGTAGTACAGGCCTCAGGTCACATGCTGCAGGACCTGCTGCGGGAACACACACACACACACACACACACACACACACACACACACACACACACACACACACACACACACACACACACACACACACACACACACACACACACACACACACACACACACACACACACACACACACACACACACACACACACACACACACACACACACACACACACACACACACACACACACACACACACACACACACACACACACACACACACACACACACACACACACACACACACACACACACACACACACACACACACACACACACACACACACACACACACACACACACACACACACACACACCACACACACACACACACACACACACACCTCGGGGCCCCCTGGTAGTCACACGGCTCCATAATGTAACTGGCAAAAATGTAAGAATTTCATGCATCAGCCTACAGTGGGAAAATGGTGTAATCTGTTGGAATAGAGTAGAAATATCAAATATCACTACTTTTCTTCTAAATGAAATGCTGACATTACAAAATGCATGGTTTTATACGGCGATGGCAGTGAGATAAAAAAATGTGGTCTGAATGGAAGTCAATGAGGCATTTTTGAGAGAAATATAATAATTAAAATAATGAAACAGGCATTTAAAGGGTTAAAATCCTGCCAATGATTGAATGTTTGGTAGTTTTGAGAACGTTAGAAGTTGTTTATGTGATTCATGAAAAGAAAAGTAGAAAAAGATATTGATGTATGATGATTTAATAGCAGTGTACATTTTTGCCACGAAGGTGTCCAGAGGTAGTATCTGACACTACGTAAAAATTAATAATGCAGTCAAAACAATTTTGTTGCTAATCTTTGACACATCCCAGACTCTAATAACCACCAAAGTTCCATCCCTCTACTAATTATTATATTGAAAGAAATTCATTTTTTGTGTTTTTTTTTTAAGAGAAATTAAATAATTCAAATAATGAAAAAATTATTGAATGTTTGGCAGTTTTGAGCACGTTAGAAGTTGTTCAAGTGATTCATGGAAAAAAAAGTAAAAAAAAATATTGATGTATGATGATTTAATAGCAGTTTTTATGAGCATGTACATTTTTGCCACGAAGGGGTCCAGAGGGTGCAAAATGCATCACGAGAGTATACAAAACATGTAAGAGAAACGACATTGGATTTCAAAAAATTTGACTCAAAAGAAGACTTCTTGCAAAAATCCATGCCAAAAGCTGTAACACAGCTGAAATGAACACCAAATTAAAAAAAAAAAGTCAGAAAAAATGTACAAAAATGCCCGAGGAGGGCACAAGGGTTAAAGTTCAATAAATGGATTTTTTCAAAGTCAATGAATAATCGTATTTAATAATCGTGATTATGATTTTTGCCATAATCGCACAGCCCTAGTGTCCGTCCAAAAATGATTTTTTACGTATAGTGAAAACTACCCTTGGATGATGGGTTAGTAGACTAAAAGCTTTAGGAATCCAAAGAACAACATATAATAAGTACCCTGTATCAAGATTGATGCAAAACAAGTGAAATCTGACCTTTTTAGAGAGGTTTAGCCAAAAGAAAACACTTCTGGGGTCATTTGGGTGGATTTTCCATATCTCTGGCCCCCCTTGCTCGATTTTGACGAATGAAATCTCTTTCTGACCGTTAGAGCCAATTTAATCGAAGGGGAATTTCCCCACACACACACGGTAAAAAAAAAAAGGTGGGGGCTTCGCGCATGCAGTTTTGCATCAGAGCGAACCTATCTCTCGCTCTGACATCTGGAAACGGAAAAGCAGTTTTAATGCTTATGGATTATCAGAAATCATTTCAAAGGGACACAGACACATTAGATTAACCTATGGATTAACTTCAGCAGCGTTTTTATCGTTTTAATGCCATTGAAGACAACTTTTGACCAGACTACGACACAGGTAAGCCATGTTAGCGTTTTTAGCTACCTAGCGCCACATGTTTTGATGTCTGTTTTTGTTTATAAAGTCGCGAGTTTGTATCATAGAGTGATAATGTATGTACCCATTGATTCTGTGTCATCTCACGATCAGATCGATGAGTTGGATGTGCAGAAAGGATAAATAATAAGGTTTTGTGAGTGAGTTTCGGTGCAGTAAATCTGTTAGCATTTTTCGCTCGTTGCTAATTCAGAGGCTCAGTGTTAGCATTGTGTTTTTTTTTTTTTTTTTAATAAATAAAAATGATCAGTTAGATGAGTTTATTCCCGTTACATGGATATAAAACATTCATAGTTTATTAAATGAACACACCCAAGATGTTGCGGGAGGGCCCCGGTACCGGGGTCTCTCGGGCTCAACAGGTTAAGATCCCGCGGACACCCTGTGGAGTTACGTGTTGTATGTGTTATCCGAAGATGGCGGTGCGGTAATAAAGTGTGGTGCTAAGACCAAAGTGTGTCTTATTATCGAGTAACAGTAGCATTGTATCTTTCCCTACCTGTGGGGGAAGTCTGAAGGTGTGGGGCGGCTGTTTGTGGCTCAGAGGCTGGAGGACCTGGCTCAACTTGACCTGGAGAAAAAGGAGGGACAGCTCGTCCTCTTCCGGGGAAAGGCATCGCCGCTCTTCCAAGCCCCATCATCGTCTGAGGGGCCAAACCTCGAAAAACCTCTTGGTAACTGAAAGAGATCATATAAACAATAATGTTGCTGCTGTATTTATCACAAATTAGGTGTGTTAGAACAGGTTTACCATGCTCAATGAAATGTGTATTTATTTAACCCTTATACATAACGGTATATATTAGCAGTGTGAGAAAAAGTTTTTAGAGAGTACTTGTCCATGGACAAGTGAGTTTGGCAATTTACTTGTCCGAATACATTTTTCACTTGTCCAGAATGGAAAAATTGGGGCCACTGGAATCTTCTTCTTCGCCAACGTATTTTACATTTTCCCACGTTTTTTACGACACTGCTAACGTAAGTGAGCGGTAAGATTTTACTGCATCACACATACGTAGGGTTGGGTATAGTTTGGATTTTAACGATTCCGGTTCTGCTTTTCGGTTCTCGATTCCGGTTCTTTGAGAGGGTAAAAATAAGTCCCATGACAAACTGGGAGAAAAACATATTTATGAAAACATTAAGTCAAATCTGTATTCCTATTTAGAAATCACTTCATACTGTTTAATTTCTTACAGTTATTGAATAAAATTATATAAAAATAATCTCTGCATTGTTTAGTTAGTTCTAAGTGGTGCAGTTTGAGAATGTACAATTGGCCCAGTCTCCTCTGATGTTACACTGCAACCTGCCTGTGAGACTGAGTCCAACCACACATGTCCAACACATAGGCCTAATAATAATAATACATTATATTTATAGCCTATAGGCCTAGCGCTTTTCTACAACTCAAAGACGCTTGCATGCTTACACATGTCCTGCAATACACATGCTGCAGCTGCTCACTGTTTGTAAAAGTAAATAAATACTATTTTAATTTCAATAATGTATTTTTTATACCCTGCTTCATAAACAATACTGACATCCCTGTGCTCCTCCGAGTCTGGGGGTCGGGTTATGTGAGGACAGCGCGAGGACACAGACAGGGAGGCTGCTTTACTTCATAAAGGAAATGGCGTCAATATTAACAACATAGGAGCTAAAACGCTTAATAACCTTCATTACGTGTTAGAGAAAGAACATAAGAAAGTTTGACAAAGATTAGGCTGTTAAACGGGCAGCGGGTCCGCTGTGTGTAGAAAGAGAGAGGGAGAGAGAGAGACGCTGAACTGCACCGTGCAGCGATCAGATGATCCGGAACAGAGAGAGAGAGCTGCGGTCCGCGGGGCTCGGCCTCCTGTCCTCACAACTCTTATTAATCCCGGTACCGGACAATTGTTATTTGTTCCTACTCGGAACGTCCCGCCCCGCCCCGCCCCCGTCTAACAGTACAGAAAGCGGCGAGATGCATTTCCTTAGGAATCGACAAGCAGAACCGAAACTAACATTTCTAAACGAACAATGGCGGACACGGACAATTTGCGAATGAGTTCTGCCTTTTGTAAACTGAGTTTATCAATAATTTGTCAATAAATGAGGGCTAAAAACGTCACTTGTCCGCCGGACAAGTCAATTGAAAGATCTACTTGTCCGACATTGTAAATAACACGTCCCGGACGGTGGGACGTGTGCTTTTTCGCACACTGAATATGTACATTCACCTGTCATTTTTGTTATTTCTATACTAACTATTACTACATGTTTCATTTATATTGTTATTATCCCATGTATCTGTGTTTCTGTCTTGTTGCAGATGTAGCACCTGAATTTCCATACGGGGATACATTAATTTCCATCTGATCTTATATTGATACTGAAGTTGAAGGTTGGCTCTTCATAGGGAACTTAAATATAGTTGGGGAAAGTATATTTTAGCATAATCTTGACTAAAACAAAGAGATGCCATTCAAGTACACTTGAATATCCATGCCATTCCTCCATCACATGCAAATAGCACATTGCTTACTGCATGGCTATTGAGACCACACCCCCTACAGGCACTGTGCATTCCTCCATCACATGCACAGATGATTTCTTGTGGGGATTTTTGGATGGGGGGTGCATTTTTGAATGAGTGGGGTTGGGGGGGATGAGTAATATTTAACTCAACATTCATGTTTTTGTTCTTCAATGAAACAAACTGGTTCTGTTCTACTTACAAATAAATCTGTTGAAATGTCATGTTTTTTTAATTGTATCATTTTGCATGGATGTTTTCTTATGACAAAACAAAATGTTTATATTTATGCTTGGATATGATACAATTCGATTACATTACCCTCAATTCCCAGTTATTTCCCATAATTCCCATGGAAAGTTTCCAATATGGAATATTTCCAAAATTCCCCTGGAAATGTACCGCCTCTTTGCAACCCTAAATAATAATAATAATAAGACTACATGTTATTTATATAGCGCTTTTCCTGGTGCTCAAAGCGCTTTACGAGTAAGTAAAGAAAAATAACAACAACGTTTAGTGTATGTTAGTTAATTCTCTGTCTCCTGTTTTGCCTACCTGCTGCCTCGGACCGTCACCTTTTCCAGTTGGCCTTCTGGTTTGCTGATGACACCGACTGGTTGCAGCTCACCCAAATCTCCAGCTGCTCCTCTTCCTGCAGCAACACGTGACATCTCAGTACACACAATACTTTATTTTATCTGTTTTATTGCGTTGCACTGTTTGGAGGAGCCTGTGACCTCAGATTGTCATTGACATATTTACACTGTAGCTATGTACAAATGACAATAAAAGCCTTGAATCTCGAATTTATATACGACATATGATGTTGGGAAAATACTGAATGTACTCTGTCCAATATCAGAGTACACATGATAACAAAGGTATCCCAACTGTAGCTGTGTACATGACAGGATGTGTGATTACCTAGAAGAGCATCAGGACTGTTTTAGGCATATGATAGCTATGTGATTAACATGATGATTCAGCCTCTATGGAGATAGACATATGACAAGCATGATCATTTCTGACGTGGAGCTAATCTGAAGTAAACATTGAATACTGCTTTCTATTCCTCCATCTTGTGACTGTGTAACTCCCTCTCTTGGATATCAGCATGTGAAGGACACTGTTCAGGAACTAGTTGATGCTCTGTATGTGAAGACTACTTCCATTCTGGAGAGGATCAGAAATACATGGATCCTGATATTGAAGCTCAAGCCGGTGACCAGTGATATTTTCCTAACATATGACTAAGTATATTGTACTTTATGAAATACAGATGCAACCATTACATGTGTGAACTTTTCTAAATTAAATATCAATAAAATGTAAGAGTTTTTAATACAGACCCAGTGCTGGTGCTCCTCTGCCCCAGGAGGCCATGGAGGGGTCGACGCCCATTCCTCTAAACATTGAGACCAGTGTTGATCCTGGACCGAGTGAAGGTGCATCAACCTGCAAGAAGATAAATAAAGTAGCAGCTTTTACGGTAAGGGCATAAGATTTTACATTACATTTAATTAGGGATGGGATTGATTAATCGAATATTCGAAATTATTCAGGTATTCGAATATGAATATTTTTTTAATGGGAGGGGTGTCTAAGTTGATTACATATTATCAAATGGATTAATTAAATGTATACGACAGTGCCATTTTAAATATCTTTGGTTTCTATATTTACTTGAAAATGTATTTATAATTAAAAACGTAATTTTTATTTTTTAAACATTAAAAACTATTTTTAATAACGCGTTAACGCAAACATTTTTAACGCCACTAATTATTTGAACGTGCGATTAACGCATGTGTATTTGTCCTCGGCCCGCCCCGTAGTTTCAGAGCCCAAAGGTTTGACGTTGTTGTTAGTTGTTGTTAGTTGGATGGTGGGAGATTCTAGCGAGAGATATGGATACAAGAAAAGGTGTTTTAAACAGCAAGCCAAGCAAACAGCTGATGCTGACAGCCCCGCTCCTGCCGCTCGCTTGCGGCAGACCACGCTTGAAAGTTTGCCGGGGAGACGCCTGGACAACAACAGCGATAGCTAAATGGGTGGCTCCAGCTTAACATTGTGGAGGACGAGGGGCTGCGTTAGATAATTCGGATCGCATCCAACGTGTCGACTGCACATCACAGCGCATTATTTTGACCCCTGTGGGAACTTCAGTCTCATGCTTTGACTGTTATGAAGACAGAGGAGTGGCATTTCGCCGACAACTGTAAACAGGCTTGTCTGTTTGAGCAACTGGCTCAGTGCAAAGAAGTGCACAGGGTTGGGATAGAGTGTAAGAGAGAGAGAGAGAGAGAGAGTGTAAGAGAGAGAGAGAGGTTCCAGGTTGTTGTGTTGAGAATATTCAGGAGAATATTTGTCATTGTTCCAATGATAATAAACAAACATTTGCATAAAGCATATTTGTCCACTCATATGTTGATAAGAGTATTAAAAATGTGAAAAATATTCCTCTAAGGTACATTTAGAACAGATAAAAAATGTTAATTTTAATCGACTGACAGCCCTAGTATTATTATTATTATTATTAATAAATAAAAGCACAACAATCAATATATACAAAATAACAGTCACTTCACGCAGTCACAACTTTTTTCTAACCTCTTTTGTTGTCAGAGTGGGGTCTTTCGTCGTGGGTTCACCTGGAGGTTCTTGTTGCGGCTCCACAGGAGGAAGGATTGCACCTCTTGCAACCCCAACTTTTGTCTCAGCGGCCAGGAAGAGCAGACCTCTGGCTCGGCCGAACACTGGATCAGCAGCGGGTAGAGCTAATCCTCGTCCGAGGGTATCGCTGGGAGTGGGGAAACCTCTGGCTCTTCCTACACTGAACCCTTCTGTAGAGAGCAGCAGTCCTCTACTTCGTTTCATAGCCGGCGCCTGAGGCTGCAGCCCTCCTCCGCGCCCCATCCCGGGGACATCTGGAGGCGTCTTTGGGTCCATATCACCACTTCTATTAAAACCCGTGAACACAACAATGGGTTCAGAATCAGACTCAGATTATCTCTATTAGTCCCACAGAGGGGAAATGTACATTGTGACAGCAGTAAAGAGCCAAAGACAGCTTAATGTGACCTAAGCCTGCATACAAAAATATATTAAAGATACAAAAATATTATAATAAAAAAAGTTACACAATTTACAAAAAACACATCCTGTAACAGTTCTGAGGATTTAGCAGCCAGGTATATAGTGCTCAGTTATTAACGGCATATATATATTGCACATTTTGCACATAGTTCAGGGTTCATACACTTTTTCACCAATGATTTTCAATGACTTTTCCATGACCTTTACCTAATTTTCCATGACCAAAGAAATTACTCTTTCTCAGCGGTACCCTTGAAAATAGTTTATTTGAACATGGAACAGGAAAATAAGGTCTGCATATGAAACATGTTGTGCCTATCTAAAACAAATCAAATAGGCTTACTAGCTTCTACACGCTAAAGCAACTCAAATCTCTCACCAGCAAAATACCTCGTCAGATAAAATGCCATTTTACGTTTCATTACTATACGATACAGCATTTATTATCATTATCGTATTACTATTTCGGCGATTAGATAAAATATAAATTATATTTGATGCAACTTTAGTTACATTTCCATGACTTTTCCAAAACTTGGGGAAAAATATTGTTTTCCATAACTTTTCCAGGGCCTGGAATTAGCATTTTGAATTTCCATGACTTTTCCAGGTTTTTAATGACCGTAAGAACCCTGATAGTTAACTGCAGGGAAACACCCATGAACACAAAATAGCAACTGCAGTTTGTCATAGTCATATTTTCCTTGTACTACGTTTCTTTTGTATATTTATGTGGTGTTAATACTTGTCTTTATTCCTTTTTTAAATGTTTAATCGTTCTTTTATCATATTTTTTACCTTTTGACGCACCACCGTACACCAAAGCAAATTCCTTGTATATGTAAATGTACCCGGCAATAAACTCAATTCTGATTTTAGAGTTAAAAGATACAAAGGAGAGCTCTATGTATAGTGTTAGTGTTAAGGTGCTAAAATGCATTTAATTACATTACAGGGAAACACCCATGCACACAAAAAGTCATGATAAGATAGGACTTAAACAATAAACACAGCAGCATGATAATAAAACTGTACACTATATACAAAATATTATATAATATAGAGTTGAAAGATGCAAAGCACAAGGGAGAGCTCTCTATGTGTAGTGTTACGTTTAATTTCACTGTTAAGTATTTTGTTTTACATTCTGTTCTTGTTTATCTTATGTGTACATATATACAGAGTCCTGTATTTATTTGTCCACTTACAACCTTCTCTGCAACATTTAGCTTATTGTATGTTTTATTAGTATACATAATTTACTTAATCTGCATTACTTACACATTGGGTTGCATTGTTGGACTTGTTATATATACTCACTGTAGCTACTGTGCATGACAATAAAGCTTTTGAATCTTGAAGGTGCTAAAATGTACTTAATTAAATACACTAAAACTTGTACTGCCCTGGTTATGAGACATTATAAATTACAAAACTATCAAAGAATTCAGAGTTGAAGAGGGATGTAACTAACAATGAAGCGTTTGGTCTATCCATTTGAGGAAATATAAAAAAATGCCTATGGCAGTATCTTTAAGTCGAAGGTGAAAACTTAAAATGTCTTGTTTTGTCCGAAACCAAAAAGTATAAAACTAGCTTTGATAACACTTGAATGCATTAATAATTATAAAACATATCATATATATTATTCTGAAATGGACCAATCTGCACAACGACTACTTTTTACTTTTGGTACTTTAAGTATATTTTGATGATAATACTTTTCTACTTTTACTTGAGGAACATTTTGAAGGTAGGACTTTTACTGTAACAGAGTATTCCTGCAGTCTGGTACTTCTACTCAAGTGCAAGACCTGAGTACTCCTACTTTTACTAAAGTACAAGATCTGAGCACTTTTACTCAAGTACAAGATCTGAATACTTCTACTTTTACTCAAGTACAAGACCTGAGTACTTCTACTTTTACTCAAGTACAGGATCGGAGTACTTCTACTTTTACTCAAGTACAAGATCTGAGACTTCTTCCACCTCTGGTCAGAAAATAAAAAAGGTGGATAACACCGCATGGCAAATTAGCTACCGTTAGCTTCCGTTAAGAAGTAACTGTAAAATGACATCACTTATCGAGTTGTCTTGACTTTAAAATATAACAGTAGACATATTAAGTAATAAAATAAATTAATACAAATATACTTTGTATTCCCAATGTATTTAATAGTGATATTTTATTGTTTTAATTCTTGGAAATTATGTTTAAAAATTATGTTAGCTACAGGTACTTTTGTTAAGAATTAGCGAAATTGCGTCACTTATCGAGTTGTCTTGACTACCAAATTGAATGATAAAAATATATGTTTTACATTTTGAACATTTTTACGAATAATTAAAACTATATGGCACTGTTGAAACCATTATGAATAAAAAGGCAATCAAACTAATACACATATTATATATTAGCTAATGCTAATTTAGCCCCTTAGCTAGCGAGATTAAGCGATATAACAGTCATTTCATTTTCACATTCATTACCAAAGTCAGATAATATAGCAGTCGGGCACCAACGTTAGATATACACAATGTCTCCGTTAGCCGAAATTAACATTAGCCAACGTTATACAAATGCAATGTCGGTGTTAGCATTAGCCACGGTTAGCTACATTTATTAGAAGCTAACGTTAGCTTAAATTAACATTAGCATGATTAGCTAACAGAAACACGTGTTGGAAGTAAATCATATTTTACGATGCAAACCGCTGCAAATAAAACACCGCAACAATACATCCAGCAGACAAGCAAACAATGTACAGTTATATTAATGTTACTGCATGAGAACTATCATAATAGACGTTTATAACTCTCACCTGGCACAAGGTCTCAAATCTGTTCTTTATTAATCCACCTGTTCGATTCAACTGGTCGATACTGGGTTTGTCCCTCCCCAAAATGTACGTTATTGGATGATCGGTAGTAACTCCCCCCAAGGCATTGGTTCAATTAACTGTCAATCTTTTATTTAAAATTCATCTACACTGGGAAAGTAGAGCTGTGTTGTCCTCTGGTGGTTACCAGCTGTCATCTCAGGTGTACAGGCACAGTATTTATTTATTCAGGTTTGTGTTTATTTATAATTTATTTACCCGTCCTGGGTGCACATTAATCAATATTAGAGTAACACATTAGTTTCAAGTTTCAAGGCTTTTATGGTCATGTCGTGTGCATAGCTACAGTGTAGTTATGACAATGATAATCTGAGGTCACAGGCTCCTCCAACAGTGAAACACAATAAAACAGATAAAATAATACAAGTAAATAAAATAAAATATAATAGAAACAGAATATAATAGAAACTGTGCAGAGTAGTCTATATACAGTAATTGGAATATTGATATATGAGTTGCAAACAGATTCATATTATGTATGTTCTTTCAAAAGTTCAGGTGTTTAAAATTCTAACTGTTTGGTATATTGTTGTGTATTCTAACTTATTAATTTGTATTATATTCTTGCTTAGTATACTATATAGATATATCTTTCTAGTTTTAATATGTGCATATGTGTTTGTATTTATTTTTTACCATGTAATGCCTTCATAACACGTTACTGCTGTAAGCAACAATTTCCCAATTTGGGATGAATAAAGTAGATTGATTCATCTTCTTGTCCATCTATTTCCGTTTCCAACTCAATGTCAATATGAGAGAGTAAGAGTAAAATGGGAGAGCAACTTCCATTTACAGTACCTGCACAGGCTATAACAAATAAAGGTCTTAAAAGGATGAATGCAGAACTTCAACAAGCACTACAACAGGTCCAAAATGCTGCAGCCAGATTGCTTACTCGGTCAAAAAAAACATGCCACATCACTCCGATCCTTTCTACCCTGCACTGGCTCCCTGTCCATCTCAGAACCCAATTTAAGGTATTGGTTTACACATATAGAGCTGTCCATGGCCAAGCCCCCACCTACATTAACGACCTTATCACAGGTCAACCCGGGCCCTGAAGTCCTCCGAGCAAGGCCTCTTAAGGGTGCCCCGAACAAGGTTAAAAACTAAGGGGGACCGTGCCTTTGAGGCGGTGGCTCCAAGGCTTTGGAATGAACTCCCCCAGAAACTAAGAGCCTCTGTCTCAGTGGAGATTTTTAAGGGGCAGCTAAAGACTCACCTTTTCCGACAGGCCCTTGGGGGCGTCGGAGGAGGTGAGTTTGTAGCTGTCTTTCATTGGTGTTTTAGTCTATGTTTTACTTGCTGTGTTTTATGCCTTTTATTCTACATTTTATAGTGTATTTTGTATTGTGTATTGTGTACTGTATGTAAAGCACTTTGTACATTCGTGTTGAGAAGGGTGCTATATAAATAAAGTATTACTTACTTATTACTTACTTACTACAGTGAAATACAATACAACACAATAAAACAAGACATTATTCCAGTAGTGCCTGAGTAAATATTCACTCAACATCCTTTAAGCAGTCTCTTAAGTCTCTTCGAATCAGTGATCTTCATCTTTTGCACATTTAATTCAGGCTCATGACATGCCGTTCCGTTCTATATGTTATAAGT